GCAAGCCACTAGAATATAAACTGAGAGCAAACCCCACTATTTACAAGGAGCAATGGTGTTACCTAGTTTGGGTAATGAAACATCTGCAAGAAAGCAACCAAGCTCAGAAAGCACCAAGGACCCCTCAAGTATAAATGAAAATTGCAGCAAAATAGTTCAAACTCCTGCCTCTTAATATGTACATCTCAAAGTGAATCTTCTGCAAAAAGATATTCTTGGCTTCCTATGGGGTTAGGCTTTCTAATGTAAAAATAGACTGCTATCACAACAGATTTTTCACTGTTTGTAGAGTGTTTGGTGAAATATTGTGGGAATATTTTAGCCAGAGATGTTGTGAAATTTGTACACTCTGAATTTTTCTACAAACTTACCAGATCTGCTACTTCTGAATCTGTATGCAAATTGATAAAGAGCTGCACAGCAAAATCTGCAGGTTGTCCCTCCTGCAGGTTAAATTAGAGTACTAATTTACGTATGGAGTTCTGCAGGAGGAAGAAAGGAAGTAAACGGTGCAATGTGTGTTCTGATATCTCAGTTGAAACAGCTCCTGTTTCATGCATGTTGCAGTGTTGCACCATCTGTGCTTCATGTCTGTTCCAGAAATTGGTATGCCTCATTACCAATATAAATTGGTAATATAAGTGTATTTAGGATACCTAATGGTTGCATGGAATGACACGATGATGGGATTTGCACAATTTAGCTACAGTAAGTGAAGATTAAGTTCTTGTGGAACAGAATGTTGCTTGAATCCAATTATTTTAGCATGATTGTGAATCAGGGCTCAAGTTATTAATATTGTTTTAAAAACTGTAGACCACAAATATGCAGCAACCATGTTTGTTAATCCACAATTGGTGTGATCACATTGTGGGATCCAGCCTCCATGTCACAAAGTTTGATTAAAAGACCCAAACAGTGGAACAGGGAATAAAATAGCAAAAGAAAGTATTTGATAAATGAGAGTTTTAGGTTATTATTAAGATTTTATCTGCAATTGTAGATTAATCTATATAAATAAAAATGTAAATGTTCGTTTGTTCAAAATCTTAAATCTCCAAAAGTTCTTCACCGATTGCTTTGAAATTTTGACACAACATTGCATTCGAATACGTGCATGTTTTTATATACCTTTTATATACCAGACTGAGCCACAGCAACGCGTGGCCGGGTACAGCTAGTTCTTAATAATAAAGTATGGATTAATGCTTTCATCATACTAAGCCAAAATGTGCTTTCTTTGGTTTACAATTTACAGTGTGAGTGATTCTACCAATTGTGTTTTATAAATCATAGTTTTTAATTATTAATTATTTCAAGCTAATCATATTATGGATTACCTAGCTTTTGAGTTCATTGGGACTTGCTCTATGCAGTATTAACTGGATAAAGAATAATTAAACAATATAAATCATGGAACCTATGTACATTCCATAACCGAAAAAGCAAAACAAAATTGGTCTTAAATTAGAAAGCAAACCTGCTGCAAAAGTTAATGGGTAATAAAAGCATCCTGGACACAAAGATTCAATTATGTAAAATGGTAAAATTTTAAATGTATTATTGAGTTGTTGCTCTTTGCAGCCACTAGATGTCTGTATTTTTCCCATCGTCTTCCTCCATGTTCAACCATTTTCTGCATTCATGAATATTCTAGTAAATTAAGCTATGCAAGAGAGAAAGAATACCAATTGTGCACCCATTCTTCAATAGATGATTTCAGACTGAACATTCTCTTTAATGATTAAGTCCAAAACCAGAGACCATTTTTTTAAAATGTGTTCAGACTTATTCAGTAATGCAGTAGTGTCACTTCTGTTTTCCCACACCTGCAAATTTTCTCACAAGAAAGAGCAAGCACAAGGTTCATTTACAGACAGATGTCCTCTGAATGATAATTAAAACTATTAATGCAATGAATCTCACAATAATGGATTCCATAATTATCCATGCAACCACCAAAGATCATGCTACCCAAAGTAATATAATTTTTAATATATATATATGATAAGCAAACTATAGATTCTATACATGCTATTTATAAATAAGCATTGTTGTAAGCTTTTTTGGTATTAATTTATTTTGCCCGATATAAACAAATGGGCTTAATTAGCATGCCTACAATGAATAATTACTGAAATGATAGTTGGAAATGGAATTCAGGTTCTACAAGCAATCCTCATCCAGTAGCAAACAAGGCAAATTATCTGCCAGTGTTTAGCATTTCTCTTTTAGTTACTTAATGGGCAAAGTAAGTATGTGCTTCTGTGTCTAAGCCAATACTAAAAACATTTTTAGATTTGATCAAAGATGTAGGGCACATAAAATTTTTAAAAGGGTACAGTATCTTCCAAATGCAATACACATACATGTTAAATAAATCCAGCTAGCAGAAAATTTTAGGTTTCATCCAACTTCACGTTTTTACCAGTCATTTTAAGCACTTTGAAAAGGAAGGTAGCAATGTTATCACTTAAGATGGAAAAATGGTGTGAGGGGATGAAGTGTGACTGAAAAAGAAACCAGGTGCTAAATGAGTTGAAAGTATTTTTGGAGAAGATGTAATGCAGGGGTGTCAAACTGCCGGCCCGTGGGCCGGACGTGTCATCCGGAAGCCACGCCCACCCCATTGCCGGCAATGGCAAACTGTCCCAATACATTGTGCGACGTCACGTGATGTTGCGAGTTTGACATGTGTGATGTAATGGGTCTCTTGCAAGTAACAGGTAATGAAATCAACCTTTGCATTAGCAAAAACGGGGTTGTGATGCATAAGTTGTCCAACACCTTAGGTGTGTTTTGTATCACTCTCACATTCAGAGCTATGATGCACCCACAAAGGATGATTTCATTACCTGTTACTTGGTAATGAAATTACTGGATTACTAACAGGTAATATGTGTTCTGGATGCACAAAAGTTAGTTTTGTTAGTTACATAGGAATGCTTAGAATGGGATATCCCTGAGGTCTATTGCATTGAAGTCTGCATGTGCAAAACCCTCACACACGTTTTAACTAATATTTTTTTAATCCATCTCAGTTTGGGCAACTTGTTCCAAAGTTTTATGGAGAGCAGTAGAACAACAACAACAACAACAACAACAACAACAACAATAATAATAATAATAATAATAATAATAATAATAATAATAATAATATACCCTATACCATTTCAGACAAATGGCTGTCCAATCTCTTCTTTAAAACTTCCACTGTTGGAGTATTCACAGCTTCTGGAGGCAGGTTGTTCCACTGATTAATTGTTCTATCTATCAGGAAATTTCTCCTTAATTCTAGGTTGCTTCTCTCTTTGGTTAGTTTCCACCCATTGCTTCTTGTGTCACCTTCAGGTGCTTTGGAGAATAGCTTGACTGTTTGATTTTCCACCGAAGAGCTTGGAGGAAAGCCAATTTCTGGATTGAAAGAATTTGTTTTTTTCTTTAGAAGGGTTATATTTAATTATCTTTAGCTAAATGTTGTATATTCATAGTGTAGTAAGATGTGTTAGAAACTGGTTCCCTGGTTCCCCAAAGGAAATATTGTTTTCAAGAAAATAGTATGATAGTTAAATTGCTAGGATGTTTTTTATTTTAAAATCTCTGGTTTGCCTGTATTATCTAAAATAAATATTAGGTTTCTAGAGCTTTCAGTTTAGTGTGAAATCTCAAGTCTTTGAGCTGATATTCCAAACTCCTTATTATCATATTTAAATGAATTTGATATGTTGAATTTGAATCCTGTTCATGTGTATTTGTGGGGAAATATATACATTCTGAGCTTGCTAATCCAGCATTAGGTAAATACTGAAGTGATAAAGATTTTGTTCTATGTTCCAGGTAAAACTATGGGTCCTCTAAAAGTGCTCCCAACAACCAACATGATGAATGATGGCCAGCTTTCGGAGTGGAGTTTTAAAAGGGCCTTTTAGAATTACGAATGTGGCCTTTTGAAGAAAATGTGAGTAATTTCAATTTTGATATCAAAGAGAGATAAAACCTGAGTTGACAAGGTAACTAAGTGACTTAGAATCACTTAGGAAAGGCGTACAGAAATATGATAAATAAATAAATTTCACAAAGATGTGGTCAACTGAAAAAATCCTTTTTATGCAATATCATTATTACTGCTATTAGTTTTAGTGCTTTTACTTTTGGTCTTAATAATAAATCCATGTAGAGTATTATATTACATTGTATCCAAATGCTGTTCATGAACTTAGATGGGTCCAGTGTTTTGTATTTCTTTGTTATTGCTCACCCTATTCATTACTCATCTGTTTTTTTAACACTTGTCATTAAGAGTGATTTGATTACATGTTTTTAAGCACTGATCATTGTCTGAAATAGAGCAATTTACTTTGATTACTTCAAGAAGAAGCTTGCTAACAGTTGATATCATAAACACTCAGAAATAGCAGTAACAGAGGTACAGTACAACCCTCTTTTCAAATCCAGATTGAGCAAACTGCTTGTAGATAGGCATGAACTCAGCTGGTATCTTTGATGTCTAAAGGTTGTAGAAGACATGGCAGTGATGTTACTGAAGAAATGGGACGAGAATATCGAGCCTGTTTCTAGTCTTCCTACTTCAGATTTTGGCTTTTGGAAAAAAAAACATAGAACAGGTATGCTGAACCTATTTTATTTTAATTTTGTCTATAATTTGATATTATACTATTGAATTTCTGCAGTGCCAGAAGATAAGACACTAGCGTCTGTTATGGTTCATACGTGGGTTGCCTATTACATGTTTCTGACATTTAAATGAATAAAGAGTTGAATAAAGAATTATATCTTGAATATGGAGTTATATATTTAATTTGCTCTTATTTTCACAATTAAGATGAACAATGTAATCATAATATCCTAGAAAAAAACCTCCCGGGTAAGGATATAGTAACTTATGATATCACTTCTGGGATCAGCAGTTGTATCTGTCTAAATCTTTGAGAAATAGGAACTTCTTCAGAAAAAAGGAGAAATGAAACACAGACGATCAATAAGTACACAAAGTACACAAGTGTATTTATTACATTTTTGCAAGCACTTGGTTCTACAGTTCAAAAACGCCACCATCAAGCTGTTGGCACATTTATGTACAAAACAGATTAATTATAATGCCTGCTACAAAGCATTCTTTGTGAAAATACAAACTCTAATACAGAGAAAAGCCAAAAGCATCAACATCATTACATGAGTTTAAAAGACATTTTAAAAAGCATCACAAACTGTTTTAAGACACAAAACTGAAACACTACAATATAGAATAGAAAGAAGTTAATAATACCTCTGCAGAACTGTAAATACTGGTACTGCACATTTTGGAATGTTGACCCCTTATAAGACAGTAAAGTGTAAAAAATAAAATAAAATCAAAACAAAACAAATTTAAAAAATGCAAAATGAACTAATACAACTTGATGCATAAACATGCCACAAGTAACTATTGAATTACCCTCTACTTACTACAAGAATTGGTAAAAATTACTGATGATGCATGACTAGTAATTGTACAAAGAAGAGTTTTACTCAAGAATTTTTATTAGAAATGCACTTACACTGAGAAAGAATTCACAATGATCCAATAAGTGCACAAACTAGCTAGGTTTTTTTTAAAAAAACACTGACAAAAATGTCTTGTCAGAATACATCACTTTAAAAGACACTTTACAGCATTCTTGTAGCATTAGAAATAGGCAAAAAATAAAAATAAAAACACCAAATTTGGTCCAATAATACTTTTTTTCCATTTTTTATATGTTTTTATGTGTTTTTGTTTGTTTTTAGACAGGTACTTCTTTCAGATTAACATGACTGACTTTTCTCTTAATACTTTCTTATTGAAAATAAAGGTTCAAATATATTATTAACATTTCCAAACAATAGCTCCAGTAGCAGCCATTAACTTCACTTTAACATTATACAGGTAAACCAGTATGTGTGTAGGAAAGCTACAAGCCAAGCTATTACAATTATGGAAGCCTCCTCAAAAAAAGATCACATACATTCTATATATAATTCAGACAGGTGCAATCCACTTAATTGTTTAAAGCAGGTAAAAAGACTCTGGCTCTTAAGATTGCTGTATTATAGATATAGCATTTTTATAAATATAGCTAAGAAAAAATTGCGCAGATCAGCACATGAACAGCTCCAGTTTAGCATAGCCATTTTGGGATTACAGAGGTCATTCTGTAGAAACTTATACATAACTCTATGTAACATTTGTCTATACACTGCAAATCTTGAGGGTAACGGTGGTCATCATACGCTTTGAAAAAGACGCATGGCCATGCATTACAAGCACTACGGTCTGCATGCTCACAATATAAACAGGAATAGCCATCAATGAAACTTTAAAATAGTGAATACTCCATTAAGTACATCAAGAATAATACAATGTTAACAAACATAAGAAGCACTTCTTTTTGTTTTTTACCTACTCTTACAAATTTAGAAATTGCACCTTTGATTGTTTTTAAAATGTCCTCAGGACCCTCCATCAAGATGCCCACTGGTCCATCTGGCAATATTTCCAAATCTGAAGGAATGTCAGCAGTGTGCCTCCTCAAAAAATTGTACATGGTGTACGAGGGGTCCCTTAGAAGCATACCTGTAGTTAAAGTACTTACTAAAATTCAAACTAAAAAGTATAAAAAGCCATTTGTTCTTTTTCAAAAACTTATAAGAAAAAAAGTGTTATGCGTTAACACATATGAAGTGATTTTTAAAAAAACACATCTCTGTATTTGACAATAGTTAGTGTTCTGAATCTAACAGAAAATCATTTTAGGGTGCAGGAAAGGCTGTTTCAGGAGCTTTGTAGTAGAAACTGATCACACAAGCTATTAACTAATTAAGAAACCAAGTGCTGGACAACCAAGAATTATATAGGGGCAATGTACAAGTCACCCTACTATGTTTTGTGAGAATTACTTTTTCATTTTGATTTTAAAAATGGAAAGATGGGTGGCCTTTAGTTAAACAACAAAGCAAATAATGGTAGAAAGTAAGACAAGGTTTCCCTTATGTGTAGGCATTAAGCCGCTCTTTGGAGCGAGTAGAATGAATATCATGTAATTCTTGCTCTTCCTTTGATTTAATATCCTCATACTTCTGCATCCTGCAAGCATCTTTCACATAGGCCCAGTTAGCAGACAGAACCATAAGATAGTGGACCTAGGAAGGAAGGAAGGAAGGAAGGAAGGAAGGAAGGAAGGAAGGAAGGAAGGAAGGAAGGAAGGAAGGAAGGAAGGAAGGAAGGAAGGAAGGAAGGAAGGAAGGAAGGAAGGAAGGAAGAAATTTTGTGGTTTTAATCTTATTAACATTATATTTTATCATATCCACTTGAATATTTTGAGAATGTGTGTACTTTAAAAGCTCTTTACTAAAATAAGCAGGAATTATTTAAAATAATTACATTCTTAAAACAGGCAAACAAAATACAAATTGGAAATACTAATTTGGTATTTTTAATTTTGCAATTATTCCTTTTCTCTATGGCTTTTGGTTTGTTGGAAATGCATCCATACATATTCCTGGTTTTTTTATTTGTTTGATAATTATTTAGCCTTTTATCAATGCTCCAGCTCATTTACTCACTTTATTATGTGTGTGTGTGTGTATCTTTTTTGACTTTCACAGAACCATTTCTGATCACTTCTATCCCTATCAGTTTGCAAAATTATTACGCTACGCTTTTTGCCTTTCCTTCAAACCAACCCAACTGCATCTTTTGTTCTTTTTTGACATTAAATTTAATAATTTTATTTTTTTAACTTTTAATTTTTTATTTTATCTACCTAGTTTCCGCACTTCAATGCTAATATACATTGGTTGTATAAGGAACTACTGATTGTCTAGCAAAAGCTCCTTTCTTGCTGTATAGCAGGGATGTTTCAATTTTCTTGCTACTGGAAGAACGACTTTTAGAAAATGGGCATCAGAAGAGTAATTCTCTCTTGTGGCCACTGACTTCAGATTTTTTGGAGAAAGGGGGATTTAATGGGTAAAAAAATTTCCTTAATTCCTCTGATAGAAATCCCAATCTTCTAGGGGGATTAAAAGGGTCTCATGGAACATACCAATTTAAAAGGATCACTTTATCTCCATGCCATCCTTGGCAGTCAGGAGGTAGAACTAAACAAGTGTGGAAATGGAGATGTCAGAAACACATTGATACTCTTGGGACAATGTTGTCAGAAACAGAGCTTACAAAGAGACAATCTCTCTGAGATGGAGATGAAGCTTTCCAAGGCCTCAGAAGGTCTCAGTGTATCTACAGTTATTTTACTTACTGGTGTCATATGTAACCTGAGACCTAGGTCAAGCATTTTACAGTCCTCTGAACAAAGATAAATTTTCAGGGACTTTTGTACAATTGCTTTTAGTATCTATGAAGATTCTCAGTTATCCAGGTCATAGTAGTATCAAAAGTATTTATGTTGAAAAGGCAACTGGACTGATTTTTTTGAGGAAAAACAAGACATGTCGCTTCCTATCCTGGAAGCTTCATCAGTTGTATTGGATGCTGTGGGAGACAGAAGGACAGTTATTGTCAGCTGAGATTAGTTGGTGGGATGGGGAATTATAGCTTCTGACAGGATGGTGTGTGTATATGGGAGGGGGGAGAATGGAAATGGAAAGATTGTTATTTTCTTTGCAGTCAACTGGTCTTAACACTCTCTAAGAGCCATTGTGGTTACTTGGGGTTTTATCTGTGACCTCAAAATCACCTGAATCAGAGGTGTAGAAACTTTTCTGGAACAGCCAAAAGGCCTGCATTGTAAATTGGGCATAGGTGATGTCTTATCCCTCCTCATCTGTTGAGAGAGGTCTGTTGCCTTGCCAGTCCAGTTGCCTTTTCAAAATAAAAACCACTTTTGATGCTTTTAATATCAAAATCTGAAAAAAACTGGAACTCAAAACCCAAATAGAAATTTTGACCCCTACCTGTTTGTACATCTTTGTCATAGGCCTTACACTGGTGGTCTCTGTCATTTTGTACCTGTTACTAACGTCATTCAAATGCAATGTTATTGTTTTTAATGTGAGTTTGAAAGTTATTCTTATTGGCAATTCATAATTCATAATCATCTGAAAATCGGCAATATTTCTCTGTGCCAAAGAACTTTCTATGACATGAAAGAAGATGTATATTGTGTTTACTATATGAAGCAGTGAAACTTTTATCTTAGGTGTGAATTTTATCATTATGAACATTCTGACTATAGTTGTTTTAGCAAGAATTGTTTTTATACAGCCAAGAGTAAAAGAGTTACAAAATTATAAAATAATTAAATGCATTATATAGTGAACAAAATCATTTACTTGGCACCCTTAAAATTAAGCTACTTTAAAGAATCAATCTCTGTTCTAATCTGAAAAATATAATAACAGCCACCAACGTTGGTAGTCATTGTGCATGGAGTGTACCCCCAAACATTAACAATTCAAAACCCAAAAATATTAGCCCTTTTGGACAGTATTAAGAATATTTGGGAAGAGGTTTAAGGATTGAAAGGAACATATTATGTCTCACAAGATTTAAGACAGCCACTCTCACTCTTGATTTTGCTAAAAATATAAATAAAAACTTTTGTTGGCCAAATTTGGTAATTTTGCCATTCAATTTTGGAGTTGTGATTATCAGTTTGTTCTGGGCCTACATCTGGTCCATAAAACACTCAAATCTGAACTAGGCAATTGTTCAAAGTAGTAAATATTTCAAAAGAGTCAAGAAGGAATAATTAAAGTAAAAAAAAGTTTAAGGTTTGCGGGATCAAATGACTATTAGATGCTAAAATTATTATATATTTGATTTTGTGTGTATAATTGTCTTTTCTTTGAATGCTTAAAACTGCATTCCAAACAATCATGAATGAATTGTAGGACAACTGATTAGGGTGTTATTATTAGGACTAAAGAGATTTGAATTCAAATACCTATTTAATCACGATGTTTACTAGAGGACATATTCATATTCCCTATATCTTTTGACATGTATTTCCACACATTTTTATCTGAAGGAGTATCAAAGTTCCTGTGATTACCTTTAATGTTATAAGGATCCCGAGGACATAGATTACAACTTATTATAAAGGCAAAGTTGTCTAAATCTTACCATAGCAATGACAGCTGCTCCAGCCCCAGCCAGGGCTACAATAAACAAATGGAATGTCATGTTCAGCTACAAAAGGAAGAAAAAAAATTACAAACTAAGAATATCAACTGAAGCCACGCTATGCAAATATCACAGTGCACACACCAATAGTCATACTGTTACATATTATCACTACCATTATTCATTATTTTCTTTGCAGTGCATTTGAAAATTGGGAAAAGCTGTCTTAGTTTTATTGATAGCCAAGCTATCAATGCAATAACAAAGCATACTTTAGTAAGTAAACAGGGGTTGAACATTTTTCCTCAGTATTTTCCTGCTGCCTCTTTTGTTCTTTCTTTTTCCCAGATGGAAGCAAAACTGCATTTATCTGAAGAAGAGAAAGACAGCTATGTCTGTACTGGATAAACTGTGAGCCAATCAAAAATGCAATCTAGCAAAATGTAATTTCGCCTCTTCTCTTCTTAAATAAAAAAAATATGAAAAGCTAATATATGATTTAACTGGAAGAGATGAGATGAAGTATATACAGCAATATAAGTTTAATCTTCCCAAACATGGCTTAGAAATGAAATATAATTATGTCTGAACTGGCCCAATGCCTAAAGAAACTGGTGATATGTTACTTCAATAAAAGCTCGGGTTGATATATTTTATCATTTCCTATACTAAGACATGGAAAGTATTTGACTAAAAGACAGTTGCACATTGCCCACTGAGTTTATATGGGGCCCCCAATCAACTGAAAATGAACAATGATAAGCCTTTTATTAATGCGTAAATCATCCATAAAATACTTTTTTCCTATATTATTAAAAACAGTCATTTGTTCAATCAAAAATATGACGGAATTAAGGACTTTATTTATGACCATTCAGATCAACACCTTCCTCAGTTGAAAAGGACTTACAACAAACAGAATCATCAGAATTAACTAGCTAACTTTTTGCTGTCAAATATTAAGGAATTGGAAGAGTGTTAGTTACGTCTTTATACAATAACAACACTTTTCATAGTTTTGTTCACCTCAGTAGATTCACACATCCTGAGGAAATTTTCAGATGCTGTACAAATCTTTTTTTCCTCTCCAATTGTTACGATTCCTGGAATAGATGAAACAGTCAGTGACTTTTGATGCATATTTATCACACATTCAATAGTAAAATTAACAATAAACTTAAATATAGCTTTATGTATAAGAAAATCCAATTAATTGATAACATGACATTTAAAAGCAATTTAAAGAATAACCTTGTTTTAGGAATCAGGAGATTTGCTGGCTCTATAAAATTTTTGTAGAAAAATATAACTGTTTTCTGCTTTCACAAGTTTAACTCATAATATGGTCATGAAAAAGTCAATTATATATTCCTTCATAATATTTTTGGCTGCCACATTGTAAAGTTAAGTATTTTTTAAACAAAATGAATGAAATTAAAATTCAATAATAATAAAAGCAATTACAGGTAATCCACGAGTTACGAGCATTAAATTAATGTTCATTTAAAGTTACGTGATGAGCGTCCCCTAGTGCTTACGAGCAAGCCCCGAAATTACGAATATTGCAGCACTACGGCAGTCGTTCTCCCTTACGAGTGACCACAGTGACTCTGCAACATTCACCCTGGTTATTCCCTCCCTCCCCACCCCCGGCCCGGGTCTCCCTCGGCACCAGGCCTTCAATACTCACCCTGCGAAGATCGAGATCCTTCACTTTCTTGGCTGTTCCAGGCCTTCGGTGTATTTGCAGAGAATGGAGGCTTAAAGTAACGCAAGATCACGCAAGATCAGTGGGGCGAGATCTCACACTACTGATTTCACATGATCTCATGGTATTTTAGGCCTCTGTTCTCTGCAATAGAGAATGGAATCAAAGCTTGGGGATGTTTCCACGTGCATCCAGAAGCTAGATCGGGGCATTGGAGGCCTTTTCCAAGCCGCTGCCACTGGAATCTGAGGCCAGGGGACACTTCTGGGGTCCCTGCGGCCCTATCCAGGCTCTGAAGGCCTTTTCCAGGCCGCTACTGCCTAGATCTAAGGCCAGGGGACATTTACATACCCCTGCGGTGGTATGTTTCTGGGTTACAGCAGCCTGGAAAAGGCATCCGGAGCCCAGATGTGGCTGCGGGGGGCTGCGGAAGCATTCTGTGGCCTCAGATCCACTCAGCAGCAGCCTGTAAAAGGCCTCCAGAGCCTGGATTGGGCTGTGGGAGGGGGGCAGAAACTTTCCCTGGCCTCATATCTGGGCGCAGCAGCCTAGAAAAGGCCTCCAGAACCTAGATCGGACCACAGGGGGGTGCAGAAGCACTCCATGGCCTCAGATCCAGGTGGTAGCAGCCTGGAAAAAGTTTCTGGAGCCCACATCGGGCCACAGGGGGCTGTGGAAGTATTTCAAATACTCAGATCTGGGCGGCAGTGGCCTGAAAAAGGCCTCCAGAACCCGGATTTGGCCGCAGGGGGCTCTGGAAGCATCCCCCAGCCTCAGATCCGGGCAGCAGCAGGAACCGTGGCAGAGAGGGAGACAGCTCTTTTCCAGGTGAGTCCGGCGTGGCAGGAAGTGAGGGGGAAGCTTAAGGTATCTTAGTGGGTTGGGGAGGCCTTGGGGGCCTGTTCCTTCACTAGGCCCTCCATGGTCTTCCCCACCCTGAGATACCTCGTGCGTTTTAACAAGCAATGGAATGATCTCATTCAAGGTATGAGATTCACTCTAAAAGTTTTCGAATTACGAGTGGAATGGTAGACTCCATTACACTCATAACTCAAGGACTACCTGTATAAGTATAAATAGACCAAAATGCAGAATTATCAAAACTAAAACCAGTTTAAGATTTTAAAGAAACCAGTAAAAATAAGAAATCAGATATGAATCTATTACATGGAAAGCTATATAAATTTGGTAAATCATTTTTGTAAAAAATCAAAAGGTGACAGAAAAAAGTTCTTCGCTGCTTCCTGAGTTCGGTTGAGAGCATCAAGGACCTCAGCTACAAATATTCTCCTTTTTACCACATATGGGAGAAAAAGGTAGTCAATAAATTCTAGAGATCACTCCATTACTGTGTACCAGCCAAAAGTGCTCTTACCCATAGATGATAAGTATATAAAGGAGTTGATAAGAACAGACAACAGCTCTAAAGAACAAAACTAAACAGATCCATTCAATTTGATATGCAATAAAACAATATTATTAGTTTAAAACCAGGATCAAAATAGCCAAGGAGAGCAAAATCAAAGACCTACATTGCTGCAGAAATTTACTCCAGAGGAGAATGATAGGTTTGGAATAATATTTGTATACATCCAAGATTTCAAACAGCAAACATGCCTTTTAATTAGTATTTTATTGATAGAATTAATCAATATTTTAATTGTTTACCAAACTGACGAAGATCCAAGCAGAAATTTGCTCCTTCCACAAGGGTGGTGTTTTTACAAATGGTCCACAGGTTGAAATACATGTAAACAGGCAGAGAGGTGAAGGCTGTGACTCCCAGCCAGGCCAACATGAAGATATAAGTCAACATGATAAACTGTAACAAATATGAACAAAGAAGATAAAATCTGGCAAGTGTTAAAACCTGCAGAGAAGAAAAGTAATATTTGCCACAGAACAAAATATTTATCTATTACAATTGGCATGAACAACTAATTTCTTATGAGATCGAAAAAAGGCTCAAGACAAAATGCATATATTAATCACTAAAGTAATTTAATCCTATATTTAGGCTTCCACAGTTAAAGAACTATGGGATTGATTAGTAGTAGTTCTGACAAATACAAAATATGCTATAAAATGGAATAGTAATTTCTGTTTCTATCTGTCACTGGATTTTATTGATTCATCATTTTTCTTCTTTAAGGCAAATACTTTTTAAAGTTTTAATGTTTTAATATTTAATCCATTGAGAGAATTTGAAATGACTTAGAAATACAATATAGACACAGTATTTATCCCTTGTTTTATGCTCTGTCAGTGATAGAACTTTACATTAACTTGAAACCTGGACAAAGTATTCTATCCCAGTCACTTTAATTGCATAATTGCGTAATGATCGTAGCCACTCCTAAATCAATAACTACCCTCTCTATATTATCTTGCTTGACAATAGGATACATTAAAGTCACCAATATGTAATCCCCACATAGAGTGATGTGAGACAGAATTGGGTCTCTGGTATGGGGCTACATCTTTCAAACTGCATAAAGACATTTAAGCATTACAAAAAGCCGATTTCATAAGAACACTCCATCTTACACACACTGCACTCATAAAATAAATTCAATCTTATAGATATTAATATATTTTTTTATATTTTATTTTGGGGGTTTTAAATCAAATCCACTTAAGTAGCTGGAGAATCAAGAGATTGCACCTCAAGCTGGTAAGCATTACTATATAACTTTTGCAATTGATACGCATGTCTGCCATTCTTCTCCCTTTGTTGTAAATGAATACTGTTGATATCTGTAATTCCCCAATCCCCTATTTTCCTTCCAATAGTAGTAAACAGTTTCCCACATGTATGTGATGCATTCACCTCACATGAAAGAATAACAGTTTAAATAATCAGCACCTTTTTTTAAATAAATTCTTACAGGATCACAGAATGCATAGAGCAGAAGAACCAGCCAATGAAACCCACAATGGGCTGAATTAACTATTTCATTTAATTTCTAGAAAAGTATACTCAAGCCATTTCAGCGATCCTCCCTCAATCCTGTTGGGAAAGGTCGAGGCATATCCACAAGCAGAACAAGAAGTCTGCACCGCTCATTTTTATCTCTCATTTTATTAAAAGCATGAACTACATTTTAATTCTTTTTCTGTGTGTTTTCCTTTCTTCTCTAACTATCCTTTTTCCATGCTAACACAACAATGACAAAAGTGAGCCAGCAGGTTATTAATTTATTTGCTTCAGGCAGATTTCCAGTTGAAAGACTGTTAATAAACTGTTACACAACAGATGCATATATTAAAAAGAATGCTGTGCCCAAACTTCACCTTGTATACTTCTTTTGTCACGAGGCTGGGAGCTGATATGCATTGTGCTTTCTCTATCATAGCTAATAAAATTGCTTATGTAGTGCAGGCAATTGCTCCTTTAATATACTGTACAGTAGTAGGCAGAGATCCTGTATCCTATTCTAGTAGGATACTACTTTTCCTGGCTTCAGGAAAGGATTAACAGAAAAATAACAATTACCTAAAATTACCCTAAACTTCAACTCAGTGTGACATGTGATATAGATTACCTTCATCAGGATTTAATACAATTAGGAAGTTGTCTTGGAAGCTTAATTAAAATAAAAAAGTAAATGAACTTCTCATTAAAAAAGATTGAATTTTCTGTCTTAGCCTTCTTCTATCATTTCTGTTTAAGAGCTCCACGACACCACAGCATAGTGCAAATAGATAAAACATCTCTCCCAAATTTAGACACTTTCACTGCAAAAAGTAGGTAGAAACAGAACTCATTTTAGAATCTGAGAATATAGACTATAAATAAAAGGCATCACTTATTTAGCTAGGAAAGCATACTGATGATAGGATATGGTGATTTCCACTGTATGCCAAGAGATAAGGTTCATCCAAAGGTTCCAAATAGATGTTAAACAGGAATGGAAAAGGAGGCCAACCCTGAGGTGATCTACACAGAAGGCATTTAGGCTAGAGCTCTCCCTGCTACAAGTGGAACTGACATTAGAGAACTATTACAAAATTATGCCTATAGCTCCCAACCTTATAAACCAATCCAAAACGATGTCATGATCAATGATACTGAACATTGCTAAATGAGGGGAGGACACATATTTTTTCTTTTTTAAATATAATTATTATTATTTTTAAACAAACTAAGATTAAAAACTAACAAAAACTAGTATAAAGTAGGGGGGGAGAAAAAGCAAAGAAAAAGAAAAAGAAAAAAATGCAAGAAAAGAAAATGTTGAAGAAAGAAAAAAAATATCAATTTAGTACAAGAACCAACTTAATTCTGATTAGTTCAGGGCCCACTTCTGACCTGATACTAAGCCCTAAAAGCATCTACATACAATGTGTTCTACCTTCAATCAATAAGTAATAAATTTAAAAACATAACCATTTCAACATCTTCTTTAGGATTGGAGTAGGAAAAGGCTCCGGCACAAGGATAATACTGGGAGGAACTCAAGTAAATAGTCTTTTCCAATAACATGCAACAAAAACAAAAGATAGGATAATTTTGGCCTATGATGCTGGATCACTAGCAGAAAAAAACCTGTTTCAGATCTAAAAGTAAAAAGGACTGAGAACAATTGGAAAACAACACATTCTTCTTAAAATTCTCATTCAGTAGCATTTGTCAATGGCAGAAGTCTCCAACATTGTCAGATTTTTTTCAAAATAGACAGATTGTCAGATTTTTTTCAAAATAGACACGCTTCTTTCAACTTTCATGAGAAACACTTGCCAAAGCTGAAAAACTCAGGCTCTCATGAAAATACTTACCTCAGACATTTCCTGAAGCACCTTTCAAAGTTGACTTGGCCTTGGTGAATGCAGTTGGTAAAGTTGAAAGACAAAGCAGTTGCAAGGCAATGCTCTCTTCACAACATTCTCTGTCAGCACTCACCAAAACAGGAAGGTTTGGTTTTTGTAAATTAGAAGGGTAATTGCTTCACAACGATGTACATTAAGTTATTCATTGAGGCAAATTATGAAGTGTTGTCAACCAATACTCTTTATCAAGGCCAATCTAATGCAGTCAGTTATAAGATTCTTTTCACTTCAGTTATATATGGCTACCCAGAATAAATTCTGGATCTAATAGTCAGCCTAAATGTGGACCTCATCCTTAAGGAGAAATATGGCTCGTTCATACATATGCTCCTAATCCCCCAGAATCCTCAATTCAGTTTCTACTTCTAATCTCATCAGTGTACTTGTGACAATTAGTTCTAACCCTACACATGACCCCTCACTCAGTGGTTTCATATAAATATTAAATAACACAGGAGATAAGGTGGAGCCTTCCAGGATTTTCTTCCAGGATCATTCCTAGAAACTGAGCAAACAATCCTTATATTTTCTAATGATAATACTTAAACTGGAAGTAGAAGAGGCACCCTTATTTTCTTCAGTCGTTTGAAGAAGATACCATGGTCAGTGTTATCAAAAGCTAATGAATCATGCAGAAGTATGAATTGGGGGTGGTCACACTAAACACTATCTAGTGGAGATCATCCATCAGGCTAAGCAATTCTTCATGCAAAAGTAGGTTAAAATTCCAAAATGGAAAATAGCTTTAGAGAGTATTTACATAATTTTTGAAATAATATAAATAAGGAATATGGGCATCTTATTTTTATAATTGTTTGCTATATTCTGGATAATACAAATCTCTCAAACAGCATAATGCAGAAAAAAGACATACTAATCATAGGATATAATAATATTTAACATAATAAAGCAACTCTTCTAAAGATGTTTTAAATGTGGAAGGAGTATGGTTGTTGATATGAACTTAATACTATTTTTTTTTTCAAATTATGCTGGACACTACAATGTTGTCAGTTTTGATTTCTGTAATATACATTATGTAATCAAAGCAGTGGTGTTCCCTCTCTTTTACCAGAATGTTTTTATTTTATTTTATTTTGTATCCTTTCACTCTTACATAAAAAAGTAAAAATTATGCATTATAAAAATAGAAATGGCAATACCATTTTTCACCTATATATGAAATATTTGTTTTCTATTTTTATTGGGTTTTTTTTCATATACCGTCATATTTATATATATAGACAGCTGTGGTATTATTATAATTCTAAAATTATTATACATTAGTTACAATTTTTCTAGGCTACCCATATTCTTCTTACATATAAGGGTCATAACCTATGAGTTAGTTCAGGGGTCCCCAACCCCCAGACCGTGGCCTATTCAGAACCGGTCTGTGTGAGAGGTAGGTCATGCACATGTGTGCCTGCAGCTCAACTCACCCAAGCAGTGGGCCAGCACACACGAACTGCATGCACAAGCCCCTGGGCGCTGGTTCCCACATGCACGAGTTGAGCTGCATGGGCACACATCTGCACCCGGCCACCTCTCACGCAGTCCAGTTCTTCTCTCCCCCCCCCAACCAGGCCTTCAAGCCGCAAAGGTTGGGGACTGCTGAGCTAGCTGATATTTATGTTGCTATTGTTTTTTAAAAAATCATAATTTTCCAAGGATTTTCAAGGATTTGATATACTTTATATACTTGCAAAAATTCTACAACTGTGCATGCTTCTGACCAGAAAAAGAAAGAAATCATTTTAGAAAGTCCAAGTCAGAAAATTCAATTCAACAGAAATTAATTATTGTAGGATCAGTATGTCCATCAGTAATGTTAAATATATGAGATTCAGGACAAATAGATAATTTATTTTTATTTATTTCTATTTCATGTTTCTAGATCAACCATCTCTCGCAAGGGAATTAATAGTTGCAGGAAAATGTATATGTACTTTTCTGAATGTGCAGAGTTATAAATATATAGGATAACAAAACTCATAAGTACAAGTACTAAAATGCATCAAATTATTACATTGGTGTGAACGGCTCAAAGGAAGATGTTTTGTAGCTAATAGAATAGCAACATTGCTATCTCATTAATGATTAATAGTGTCTGCAAATTTACTACAAAAAGCAAGAATTAATTTGTTGGTAAAATCAATTTATTGAGAAACTAGGTTATCACAAATGGTACTAAAAATAACAACTGTAAATTTCACTTTTTTCTGAAACAGACACTATGAACAATGAAAGGATTTGGTTAAACAATTACTCAGTTCTGAGCTTCTTGGGGAAATGAAAATCAAAGCTAAGAACCAAAAACATAAATTAAAGTAAAGATAAAATAGAATATATTTGTCAATATATGTTCTGAATATGAAATGAAAAATAGTATCTCAGGAAACTTACATGAGGTACAGAAATTGCATGGTAAAAACTGGTGTTTATTATCAGATTAAATTTGAAAGACTGACATAATGTTTTTATACGCCAACTGAATTAATGTGATATTCATACCAAAAATGGAATGAAATGGAAAGAAAATGGGAAAAAATACTTTCTTTCTTTTTGAGCTACTTTTTAAAATTAAAGCCACATTTACCGCTTCTCATGCTTGTCAAAATTAGATATAAATTATTATAAATGTATTGTAAATATCTTGTTCAGTTAATATATATCCCCAAAAGAGAAAATAATGCCTGAAATTTGATGTTTTTCTAGCAATTGCAGTATGTTTGTCTCCTCAGATAGCATAATTACCATAATTAAGACTACACACACTGTGGTTATTTTTCATTATTTAATTTAACAGAGGATCTTGTATTAGTATTACATATACCTATTAAATGGATTCAATTTTTTTTAGTGGAACAGAAAAGCATGGCTCAATCCACCTCCTGAATAAGCCAGCTTACTAAAATTACTTCACAGTATGCGAAGGACATTTTTAAGCAAAGTCCTAGATAGGGAGCAAAAAACTAAGTCTTTAAATTGGCTAAGGACAAAACTATTTTCCAAGTCAAAAAATACTTGCCAATGAGTTTGACACAAATCTTAAGAAGGGCTTATTTCAAGTACAAGATTTGAGTTGTGGGATTCCATGCCAAATATGGGCACTCTCACCACTTACTATATCATGAGAGGATGTGTATATGTGGTGCCCTAGTCACTGAAGGTATTGCTCATATTTTGTTTGACTGTCATTTCTATGTCTCTTTTAGGCTTAGATATTTAACATCCCTATTTGGATCGCCAACATGATCGCCAACGTCTGATAATGGATAGGAAGAAGAAGAAGAAGAAGAAGAAGAAGAAGAAGAAGAAGAAGAAGAAGAAGAAGAAGAAGAAGAAGGAGGAGGAGGAGGAGGAGGAGGAGGAGGAAGATTTGAAATATCCAAGCCCACTGGGACCTGAATCACACATTTTCCTATTCCATTCTGCCCTGTAAGTTATACATTATGAGCAAAACTGCTAAGCTTATGGTCAAGGTACTTCAGCTAATAACTCACATATTGAACAGATTGGATTTTCTAGTCAGCAAGCCCCTAGACTGGTTAAAAGAGAACTACGATATATAGTTAAAGGTATCAAATGTGTAAAATTTCTTCTGTAACAAAATAATGTGCTAGTGATAAGTATTTTTGATATGAATACAAATATTATCACAATTTCAAAGAGCTACTGATTATAACTTTGCACTTGAAATTTTGATTAAATCTTAACTCTAAGACTATTTTAGTAGACATACATTCTGAGAGATATTTTGAGTCTATAGACAATGTCTAACTTTGTCTGAATTAAATTAAGCATGTCGACCCTGCTGAAGTTAGCATATTATGACAGCTATGCAATCCAGAGTGTCATACTAACATACCCAGGCACTGACACATCTGCCGCAAGTGGTGATTTTGAAATCTCCATAGAGATCCTTGATGGCACCAGTTGTAAAAAATCCTTCCACCATCAACAAAATGCCATAAACAAAGAAGGCAGCTGCTACTCCGTAGATCACATATTTGAAAATGTCAATCCTGCAATTAATAGAATTCATTGTTAATGAGGCTTGAATAATAGTATTAGAATTTATTTAAAAAAATACATTTCTCTAGTTGATACCAATTTTATCATAACAAGGCATAATTTATAGGTTTTCACTTATGAATAGCAAAATATGAGGAATAGATTCTAATCACTAAAAACTATTTATGCTAAATTTAGTCATTTATGCTAAAGAATGAGATTGAGTCCATAAAACACCCAACACACAAACACATAGCAATGGCATATATCAACAAAACACAATTGTCATAATATCAGAGTTTATTCAGAGCAACATGATATTCTTTCAAAATAATCATACAACTGGATATTTATTATTATTGTCAGCAAAGCACAACCAGCACTTGTTGGAAGAATCAGGCAGATCTATAGAACTCGGACATTCAAGGCAATTCTTTATTCACTATCAGTTGTTTGTGATTCTATCTATCTATCATCTATCTATCTATCTATCTATCTATCTATCTATCTATCTGTCTGTCTGTCTGTCTGTCTGTCTGTCTGTCTGTCTGTCTGTCTGTCTGTCTGTCTGTCTGTCTGTCTGTCTATCTATCTATCTATCTTGCATATCCATTTTTTATATTACTTTAGCAGTTCTTTGCGAAAACTAAGTTTTACTGCAATCTCTTTCAACATGATGCCCACATAAACAGACTGGAATTGTAGTCTTATCAATCTGGAGGACAATAGATTGAGGAAAGCTGAATTTTATGTGAGCTAAGTACATATATTATCAAGTATAAGAAACCAGAGCAACGGTGGCTCAAATGAATACAGGTTTATTACATGCTAAAGCTCTCTACAAGAATCTGAACTACTAAGGGTCAAAGCACATTGGCGTAGATAAGAGTCAACAGAATTCAAGGTGGGCTGGATTTAGATCTCTTTTGGGAATGAAGAGACTTGACACTGATGACATGCTAGATCCCTCCCTCAGGCTCAGCCTGGTCATCTCTTCTCTATATAATGTCATAATGCAGAGTGGCTCAGTCAAGATTTTAGAATAGAAGTTCTTTTAATAATTAAAAAAAATTAACAGAATAGGGGGGGGGGAGGACAATTATTTCAGTTTCACTTCTTTAAATCTCTTGCTATACCTACAGAGATGTAAGTGGTTTTATAACTCTCCTGGACAATCTTGAGGAAAAGATTGGGGATTTGGGGGAAAATCAGCAAAAAATGCCTATCCTAATTGTCACTTTTTCCATAACATCACTCATTTATCCCCATTTATTACACCAGCCTGGACAACATATGACCCTACTCAGAAACCTACACTAAGCTTGAAGGAGATTTTAAGTTTTTTAATTTATTTATTCCATAGGCACACTTATATTATGGTTTAATGGATCCCTTATTTTATGTATTATAAAACTAATTGATTAATTATTATCCTTGCAGAAACAATAATAAACAATATTTGAATGATATAGGTAACTGATCTAAGAACAGATGTAAATAGGGTGAGTTCTTTTATCATATTTTTAGTAATCATTGTGTTTTTAAAAAAGATGTTACATGTGGCAACATTTGTGCATACTCTCAGAATTTTAGGATTAAACTTCATAATATTGGCAAAAAGATGACCAAATTTCAGTGGTGGGTTTTCAGATCTTTTCATGCTTATTTTAAGACAAGGATTAAAGATTGAAATGATAAAAAAATTGCTTCCTTATCTGCTTTCCCAATTTTAACTTTCAATCCTTCCCCACAAATGCTAACTAGATGTCTCCAGCAAACCTTTTTAATCTTGTAAATCAAAGCTGTCATTTTCAATACTGCAGAAATTTTCTATATTGAGCATCCACAGGTGGAGCAAAGTGAGGCATGGGTGTGTATCACGAAGTTGTGATTTTTATACTTGTGTTCAGGTGTCTCACATAAGGATGTAAGGAGTGAGAGCTTGTATAGTGATGGTATGATGCATCGTGTTTCATGAAAACTATGCCCTGTCCCAGGGCCCTGGTGTGTGGGAGGGATGCGTTGAAGTTTTCCACAGGTCCACTGCACTGCTGCCTGAGGGAGGTCTCTCGTTTCAGTTAAGGGGACAGTCAACCCTATTCATGACCATAGTTCTGACTCTTAATAAAAGTTTTCTATTAAAATTAATGCTAAAAGAGGCAGGAATTCTCTCCATAGTCCAAATTCACGCAATTACTATTACTCATGAACTCCTCTTTCAGTCTTGCTGAAAGTCAAAAGAAAATAACCAAAGGTTTTGACCTCAGAAATCTATGTTTTGAAATGCTAATGGATGATAAGCAGCATGAAAGCATCTCTGCCCGTGACACAGTTCATGTTCACATCCCCCTTGAGACTCATCTATAGTCAAGATACCTTCAAGGGTTTCATGTTGCCATTCTACAGCACAACCGGCATCTATGTTTAAGCAGATTATTTTTTTCAAATAAAGAGCATTACAGCGTACAATCTTTAATAATTTAATTTTGCTTTATTGAATAAACAACTAAATAAATACAATTCAAAATAAAAGGATATATTTCTTAGTGGGGTAAATAATTTTTAAGTTGCCATTTCCACAGCTCTCAAGATTACAGTGTATTTTCCCAACATCAGCACTGAGCCATTCGGCTTGATTATGCTCTAAAGGAGTATTAAAGGCTGAGGGACACTGAAGTTATTAATATTTTATAAGCTTAGAGTTAGGATTTTGTCTTGCCTTTAAATCATAGGATATAAAAATTATGAACCAGACAGCATGAAATTAGATCATTTCCTATGAAAGCTGCCTTATGGTGGGTGACAATGTATCATACTTTAAACAAAGAAGCAGATGCCTTATTCCAGAAAGAACCTCATATGCATACACTAACTGGGTAACTGTTGATTACTAACTGTTAATATGGAACAAGAACACAATTGATTAACTACAGCTTCCTACTTTGTGAAGTATAAGAAAGAGGTAACCAGCATTAGAACAATGGAAGCATCAGCAGTATATTTCACTAAAGATGCAGTTTACTTATTTTCATTTGTATTTTTAAAATAGTCCTGCCATGCATGTGAGTAGTGGGGAATAATAATCCCTTCCCAATTGCAATTTTCCAGTGTCCAATGGCGGCATCAAAGTGGATGATGATATTGTTTTTCTTATTTAAATTTTTATCTCTCTGTTCCTCCAACAGCATCAATTTGCATTCATAGCATTCCTTCCTAATTTTATCTCATAACAGATTGGTTCTTAGTCACTCAAAAGATCCCATGGCTAATGACTGGTCTGAACTGTTCCAGTTATCCTTTGACACCTTAACTGTCCTGGCACAGAGGAGACCTCTAAGTTTTTTGCCCTTGGCAAAAAGAATCCCTGAACACAGCTATGCTGGTTTATCACACTTTGAAGGAACTGAAGTAATCCGTATTGCTGATTAAGGAAGGAAAGGAACATAATATAGTCTATAATTATACAAACATACCACTGTGTCTATTTTCCTGTAGTTATAGACTAAAACGACTAAACTAAACTAAACTAATCTAAACTAAACTAAACTAAACTAAACTAAACTAAACTAAACTAAACTAAACTAAACTAAACTAAACTAAACTAAACTAAACTAAACTATCCATACATAGATACACACAAACAGACAGTACATACAAGTAGTCTTATGACTATGATTGGACTGAATTTCCAGTCATAAGCTGTTACAATGGTAAGTTGAGGAAACCACATGACTGGATCCAGTTTTACAACATTTTTTGCAGTAGTCATTAAACAAATTACCACAGTCATGAAAGGAACATTGTGGTTATAAGTGTGAACTGGCAAAAAACTTCACAAATTGCAGTCATGTGACCACAGGTTTGTTGCAACAGTCATAAAGCCAAAATGTGATCACATGACTGGAATGGTGACCCATTGTAATTTTAAATAGTCTTTATGCAATTGTTCATAAGTAGAGGACTACCTGTACATGAAAGGAATCCTACAAATTCAGTTTCTCTCTCTCTCTCTCTCTGTCTCTGTCTCTGTCTCTCTCTCTCTCTCTCTCTCTCTCTCTCTCTCTCTCTCTCTCTCTCTCTCTCTCTCTTTGTATGTGTGTCAGAGAGAGAGAGAGAGAGAAAGAGAGAGAGAGAGAGAGTGTTCTGAACTAAGATGAAAATTACAGTAGAAGTTATTTCAGTGGGCAGTATAACAATTTGACACAATAAATAAATTTGTCATTTATTTAGACCTCTGTGGCTAAATTAAAATCTTTCAGAATAGTTCAAATGAATTTATACCCATCTCTTTATTTTCAATCAAATAGTACAGTTCCATAGAACTAACTGTAACTAAGTGGCCTACAACAGGGTCATGAGGATTTCAGATCCCTTGAATTAAACAGCGGCTTATACTTATTAGACCAATCAACATATAAAGAGAATGATAAATAAAAAAGGAGAATTGCCAAAACTTTCATCTCTGCCCATGGGTTGGTAGGCAGGAACAAAAAGAGAAAAGCAGCACTGCAAGCACACCCTGCCTTTGTTGTACATACAGTATGTGCTGCTACCTTATGAACTTGCTATAACTACAATATTGAATATATTTCATGTGCTTTGGCACTGAAGCTGAAACCAGTAGTCTTGCTTCCTACTCTTCTACAATATGAATCATATAGATTTTATGAAGCTCTATCAGTTAAAAACTTCTGCCAGAACAGAGGGAAAACAGTTTGTGGGCATTTTTTGTAAATTAATCCTGATTAATCCTAATTTTTGCTCACTGAGAATCTATCATACAATAATATGCAAAATATTTAGGGCCTTCAAATGGGACTTTGGACAGCAAAAATGCTTTTTGTCCTTTTAGCCATTTTATTTTGCATCAACTTTGTAAAATGAATTCCATTGTGTACAAACAGCCAACCAATGTTGCACAAATCAGTTTCAATTTATACCTACTCTCACTGGTTGTATTAGAGCTTAAATATTTCCCAGGAAAAGCAACAGAAGAAATTACAAAGAGTGAATGACAGCCTTTTATATTTTAGTGATGAATATAATTTATCACCAATAATTGAGTTATTTATATATTACTCATGTAAGCTATTGTACTATTCATAATGTAATTAAACAGATTCTTTAAGCAATTGTAGAAGGTGTTACATGCTCCAAAGGGCAGTGGAAAAATGCCAAAAATCATTTTATTAAGTTGGCAAGCAACAATGAGTTATTCTTCTTCTATTATTAAGAATGAAGTGTGCCTGAGACTGGTCAATGAAGATTGATGACGAGTACAGTGTATGTATACATTTGACCATTGAATTGTTTTAAACAGTAGGGAGTACATATATGGGTACACAGGAAAGAGAATATTATATAATTAATAGTACTTAGCCTTTGGGAAAGGTGAAGGTCAATCAAGTTGATTATTATTCTAATGGTTTGACCCCACATCATACTTTGAATAGGGAGGGTGGTAAATACATCTACTTTCAGTTTCCTCCCACAGGTGCATTTTGTCTTTAAATTTAAACCACTGCCAATCATAGTGTATATCTGTTTTTCAGATTGCAAAAGCCATTAAAAGAAACAATTATATAAAGAGAAGTGTTTGATACTCCTTCTGTTTGACAGAATATAAGATATTATAATTACATTGCTTTTGCAACAAATATTCTGGAAGAAGAGAGTCTAGTAATTACATTTATTCTTACAGCAGTATTAAACAATGTAATAAAAGATTAGGCAGAGACTTACATTGTGAAAACATCAAGAGTGTCTCCAGCAGCTCTTGCCATCTCAAAATAGGTTTGCAGAATGTTCACTGTTCCTGAGAGTGCTTCATGTCCACACCCACAGAAGAGAGCAACTCCAGCATACAGCAAGATGGTGGCAATCAGAGAGGCATAGGGAATGCCCCCCAAGCACTTGATACAGCATTCAAAACAACCTGACAAGAGAAAAATTTACTTAATACATGACGATTTTCTTTTGCCTCAAGACAATCTAAGGGTTTTTTTTTCTTTAATTCTGGGGTTTCTTTTAAGCCTAGCTAGGTGGCATGCCTAGCTTACCTGAAATGCTAAGCAGGGTCTTGGGTGAAACCAGATCCCCTCCCCACTAAAATTGGAAAACTGTGCAGAGCATGGCTTGTGGAATGGTTTTCAACCCATTTTCCATAAACAGCACCAATATTTTCTGAAGAAAATGAAGAAACATTCTGAATCGATTTCTGCTGGATTTTCTGCTTTGCCCTCATGTTTGCATCTATTTGCCTCAATGTGAGTTCTGGATAGCATAGAGTGGATTGCATATGTTCTTTGGGATACCTGACCAGGAAAAGAGAGATCAGTTCAGAATGAAAAGTCAGCAACATTTCATGTGACTGTCCAACTGCATCTTCCATAAGATGCTGACCTCTTGAATGACAACAAATTTTATCCCATTGTGTTCAATTTTTAAAGTGATATCCAGATGACAGATTTCCCTTTCATATTTTTCCAACATTCCATTCATTTGGAAAAAAATAAAAATGTTCTTATAGTAGACAATAGCAAGCCATTTGCAATGTTGTATTAAAAATTAATGGACGTGCCCCTGATGGCACCATAAGTTTGTCTCTAAGAAGACTTTACCATTACGCTGCCTAAACCATTAGAATAAACTCAGTAGGAATCTTTAAAAGATTATTTTAAACAACTAGCATTTTAAATTGTCCTGGACACCTAGACTTCCAGTAAAGAAATTGTGAAGTGAAGACAGCTCTATTAAAAGCAGATCTGACAACCCTGATGGAATGAAGAACTGGCAAACAAATTGGCTATTTGTAATTTCTTTGTGAACAAGACAAGGACTTGAGGTTGCCCACAAGTGCTCCAGACAGTTACTCCTCATAAGGAGTTGTCTCCAGCAATTAGAGCTCTGACAGATAAGAAAACAGCTATCTTGCTCAAACCACACTTGGGACCTTTAATCGCTAAATATATGGGACCTTTAAACCCACAGTTACTCAAACTTGTCAGGATTAAGCTAAAGTTGATTCCATGCAAATTATTACAAAGGGATCTCTCCCTTAATTATTATTGCTTGCTTTAATATCCCTGACCAGAAAGTTTAAAAGTACAGTAACATTATAAGACAAACAAATTAAAATTGGATAATCAAGACAGACAATGAAAATCTAAATATATATTTTTTTTCTATAAAGCAATATTTAAAATCATTGTACAATCTTTGAACGGTTATTCCTTATATGAGGTTCATCCTCTTATGGTGCCAAATATACTGCTCAAAAAAATAAAGGGAACATTTTACCATGGAACTGAAGGGGTTTGCGTTCCCTTTATTTTTGTGAGCAGTATATAATACATGCAGGGAATAAGATATGTCAAATAAACTTGCATTTTAAAATAAATCAAACTAATTGAAAATATAATAAAATAAGATTATTGAAATAATGTAACATAGGTTCTACATAGAGTAATACTCAATATACCTACAGAATTGATGTGCATGTTGAATCAATAATACTTAGAGGCCTTATAAGATAGTATTGCTCATTGGGATGAAGTCAATGAGAAAATAAAAAGATTCTCAACAAGATTCAAAAAATGTAATTCTACTAAACAGGAAACTACATAAATAATTGCTAATTTTTATAGGACTGCGTACCAATTATAAAATATTGTTACATAAACATTTTTTAAAATCCCACATCCCTTTAAGTGAAGGAATTTATGTTTATAACATGTACAGTCTATGTCATTGATTAATATTACTTTCACCAACTTTAGAACCAGTGATTTGTCTATAAAAATAGTTCAACTTCAAACAGCTATCACTAGAAATGATGGGATTATCTTTTGTTAAGGTATCAGATACTGACTGGCTTAATCATGATGAACAAGTAGGCTAATCAAAACAAAATGCAGATGTTTATTAAAGGTAGATGAAACCAGAAACAGTGAGTAACTGCTCATAAAATTCCTGGTCACAGTGGCTAGAAATTCAGGAAGATATAATCTCAACAGCTCTAGAGATTGAATATGCTGAAGAGGTTATCACAGACAGTTCCCTGAATGTATAATTAATCAGCTGAGACAAGAGCTTAGTTGATGAGAATGGGACATTATATCTGGAGTTGAATTTGTATTGAATAACAGACAATGTTTGAAGTTGTGATTTACTTCAATATAATGTATCTTGATGAGCTAAGTCCATACTGTACAATCATAATTGATTACGTTCCTTGCTCTTCAAGGAATTACTTTTTCTACAGTTTTATTGCTTGGAAAAAATCTACTTGCTTAAAGTAAAATCTGCTTGTAGCATTGTATTTGGAATGCTTACACTGCTCAAGGGAGTTAGGAGAAATAATATGATTCATATTGAATTACAACCATAAAGCAACATAAAGAAATTTGTGATGTTAGCTGACAATAAACAACATAAGTATATTTTAAAATGCACTAGATATCTTGAGCTGAGATAATGCACATGTCCTTACATTAACTATTGTCCTTCTTTTAAACATCAGTACAGTCCTCCCACTTCCTTTATAAAAAGATGAGAGTGGGTGGGATATGATCAAAAATTGTCTGCCTAAGCTTCCATCTGAAAGTATGGAAAAAATCTAGCTTTCTTTCATAATTTACATGTATAGCAAAATTATATTATTGAAAGTATTAAGCTTATTGCACACATAAATGCCCAATCAATGTATTTAATTTATATATTCTGCTGCCTTACACTTTTCATTCACACAAATACATAAGTTACAGATGTCAATTTGCCCAGATAACATGAGAAAAATGGCCTTTTACACTATTTTAACAAAATGCATTACATATTTCTAAAGGGGAATAACAAGAAAAACAAAAACAACACTTATGCCTTCCTTAGGTCCCAAGTTACAGATGTTTTTAATAGGTATATAAGCAAACATATTATAAAATAAGCAAATAGTATGATCCATTTTCCATCTCAATAAAATCTTATACCAAAGCAGTTTTTTTAGTTTTGTTTCTTTAAAACAATTTCAATAGCTGAATGTTGTGCTTTTTGCAATACGAAGTCCCTCACAAGCTTCAGTCACCCAAAGCATCCCAAATTGCCTATATAAATACCATTATTAATCTAAAAACCTTGTGTCTCTGCATTCACTGATTTTGTAATACTTTGTGAATCTGAATAACTTAGTTCAACTTCCTGAGTTTGTTAGGTTTTTTTTAATGCTTTTCCTTTTTAAGTAATTTCTCAGTTTACAATATTGATGTTTCTTATTATTGTATATAATTTATTTAAGAACTAATCTATATTTATTGAAAATACTGCTACTGAATGTTAATTTTTTGAATCAATAAAACAAAATTCTCACAAATGTCTTTTGAGGTGATTTTTTTATTGTTTTCATTCTAAACAGTTATTGTAGACCAATGTTAGGATTTAATTCTATGACAAATATTGGATCTTAAATCAGGTAATCTACTGAAAATCAGACATTTCCAACAAAAATAGTTCCTTAATCTCCAAAACAGAGAAGCTTTTGTTCATAAACATGCATTGGACAAATTTTCCAATGCTGGATCTAAGAAACTGTTCTGTGCATTGAAATGAACTTGAGAAAGCTTTACAATTGAGCTGAATATTTATACAATGATTCCTCCTGATTGATGAGAACGTCAGTGCTCTTATTCCCACCATATGGTCATATGTTGCCTGAAATAGAGAAAGATCAGAAAAGATCAGAAAAAACTAGTAGCCAAATCTACTAGAAATTCAGTTGGAGTTCAAGTGATGCAATGACCTATGGTAGAACCACCTATTGTATATAATACCACACAATTTCAATTTAATTTTTGTTCCTGGGTATAAAAATGTGTTTTTCTAATTCCTTATTTCCAAAATAAATAGAAAATAGCTATTGTTTCACAAAAACTTTGCTTCTGTGGTCAGGACAATGATATTTTGAAATTTATCTCTTTTTGAGAACATTCTTGATTCACATTCAATGCTGAGTAGACTTCCAGAATATTCTGGAACTGCGAGAACTGTCCAGAAGTTTCTAGAATTTGTCAGAATTTTTTAGAACTTTCTGGAATCATTTAAAACTTTCTAGCACTTTCTGGGATCATCCAGGACTTTCCATAGAAGTATAAAAGTACAGATACCTTAAACCAACATTTTACTTTGTCTAATTACTGAGTAAGAGAATAGTGAATAGCAATATTTTATTTAGATGGCATCAAGAGTTTGCTTGCACCCATTACATGCATTTTGCTATGTATGTGGACAATTTATCAAGACAAGAGGGAAAAAGTACTCAATGAAAGCATCTGTTAAGATGTGTAAGGCCTACAAAGCCTACTTCGGCATCCCTGTTGGAAATCAAGACAAGCCCAGGGCGCCTAATTTCACATGCAAGCACTGCAACAAAACTCTTGAAGATAAAGTGAACAATTGCTGCTCGCTAGATGGAATTTCAATGATTTATTACAGTTTAAAAGAATTTCAATTCAGAAAATTTTCATTATTTTCAGTGTTCTACAACATATATTTTATGCCCTGTGGTAATATCTTGTACAATATTGTGTGAAATATCACATTTTTAAAAAAATTTTTACATAGTTTTGCTATATTTACAGGCTGATACAGGGGAGAAAAGAGAGTCATAATGTTTGCTAGCCCAAGGATTTGGCAGTAACTGACTGACCACTCAAGCAATTGCTACTTCTGCATGGTGGACCCTTCCAAACATCAAATTGGCAAGAGCACGTGTCCAATCATGTATCCAGACATTCTTTCATCCATCGCCTGGTACCACACTGCTCAAAGCTCACCATTCCCACTTCTCCAGAGAGGGAGCAGCTATCTTCAGGAGCGAGAAACAAGTCAGAAAGTGAGGAAGATATTGCAGATACAGATTACAATTTTTCAGATGCGTCTGAGGAG